ATAAGCGATATTGTGCCCCCTCTATACTGTAGTAATCAAATAAATTTCTTGCGCAATAGAAGTTCTAAATCAAAACTCGATTTCCAAGATGTCTTGTCATACCTGCATGTATTGGGACCGATGCATGTCCCATGGATGCAGTCCCCATCACATTGCGGTTCATTGCATAGTGGACCACTCCATCCATGCTCGCAAATCTTCTTCCCGTCAGGTGAACATTTGAACGAACCTCCATTCTGACTGCAATCAATTATTAGCGATGGTTTGATATGAAGCGAGCTGGCATCGTACTCTTTGAACGTTTCATTGCAGAATATGGTGCAAGCCGGCCCAAAAAAATTCTCCTCGCACTCCACAGAAAATGAGAAACTGACTGTCACATTTTTAGCCTCCTGAAAGTGAATCTATTTTAACGAATGATGCTGCACAGGTATGGAGTAGAATAGCTCACTATAGTCATATCCGTGATGGGAGAGTGTGAACTGATGTTACGAAAAAATCGCGAAACTTCCAGTATTGAGTTGCCGAGCCGGTCGTGTGCCGTCACAGTCAGCTGCCATTCAGTCTGAATAAAAGTCTATAATTAAGATAAGATTTAAAAAATTAAAACTGAGAAATAATCACGACTAACATAAAAACTGTATTCAATCGGAGAGATTACAGTCAATTAGAAGATAGCAAGCTTTTTTCTATTTTTTGAAAATTGATTCTTGCACCATCAAAATTGGGATAAACTGAGATCTTTTAGCATTAAAATCAAACTGTGAAGTTCTGTGCGACTAGGAGAAGTAGATAACTTTGAGAAATGACAAATTGAGTGGTAGATAAATTATTTTGAAGCGTGTATGTTATACATTTTCAGAAAAATTTGAGTTTAAATTTCTGTGTATCTATGATGACAAATTTCTGAAGGATAGTATGTAATGGTGTAAGATGTACAAAGGGACTATCTTTTTTAGCAGACAAAAAGATCATATGATGAGGCAAAGGAAATGAAAGAACGCGGTGTTTGAAATTAAAAAAAGCATTTTATAAACAACTTGGCACAAAGCAAAGCAAAAGAAATGTTTTTTGGTCTGAATTGAGTTAAATCTCTAGATCTAAATTTTGAGCGTTCCATTGTAAAGTGGTTCAAAAACAAGCAACTGTAAGGACAATTGGCTCTTAAACCTTCTACAGGTACTTTTGTTTTATG